GTAATACAAAAACTAAATTTTTCCCCTAAAAGTTTATCCATTAAACTTCAGAAATCCAAAATATTTTTTAAATTAGTCAATTTTTTAAGGGGGTAACCCCGTGTGATGGGTTAAAAAAATCGAAAACTTTTTTTGTTATGAATCACATCTACAATATGTGTAGAATATATGGATAAAGAGAATTTTTTATATTTAACATCCTTAGAAAGTTACAGCACTGAGAAGACAAGGAGTTGCCAAACGAACAATGTAGGTATTACTTAGGGTGGAGTCCCATGGCAGCGTTTTGTAACTAGGCCATGAGTGCAAATAGAGCAAACATATATCTGAGGCATTCCATTTCAAATCGTTCCACCGACAAAAAACAATCGCAAGGAGAGCGATTTTCTAATAAATATAATTATTTAAAAATTTAATTATTTGTAACATATTATACACTGAATCGAAAGAGAATTTCATGAACTTTATAATGCTATTTTTATTTTTTTAAATTTTCCTCAATTTCGTAGAGAAATTCCTGTTTGAAAGTTTAAACTCTTAATATCTCAAAACACCCCCCCGTCGATTTTTATCAAAATTATATGAAAATAAAGCTTAACTTTTCTAGTTTCCATTCCCGTATAATATATTATGGACATTTAATGGGATTAATAGAAAAAAAATTGTTTAAAAAATATGTTTTTGAAAAATTTGACAAATGGTACGAAGTTGAATCCTAACTAACCTTCAACTTCGTACCATTTGTCAAATTTTTCAAAAACACATTTTTTAAACAATTTTTTTTCTATTAATCCCATTAAATGTCCATAATATATTATACGGGAATGGAAACTAGAAAAGTTAAGCTTTATTTTCATATAATTTTGATAAAAATCGACGGGGGGGTGTTTTGAGATATTAAGAGTTTAAACTTTCAAACAGGAATTTCTCTACGAAATTGAGAAAAATTTAAAAAAATAAAAATAGCATTATAAAGTTCATGAAATTCTCTTTCGATTCAGTGTATAATATGTTACAAATAATTAAATTTTTAAATAATTATATTTATTAGAAAATCGCTCTCCTTGCGATTGTTTTTTGTCGGTGGAACGATTTGAAATGGAATGCCCCATCTGTATCTCTCTCACACTCATGGCCTAGTTACAAAACGCAACGCAAAACGCTGTCAGGCTGGAGTCCCATGATAGCGTTTTGCGTTGCGTTTTGTAACTAGGCAATGAGTGCAAATAGAGCAAACCTATATCTGTATCTCTCTCACACTCATGGCCTAGTTACAAAACGCAACGCAAAACGCTACCATGGGACTCCAGCCTGACAGGCGTTTTTCTCAAAACTGTGTTTTTCAAACTGGCGTCCATGATATCTCGAAAACGGCTTGACCAATATCGCACAAATTTATAGGGCGTGTTCAGCACGTATGTGGCTATCGCTCGGAGTAGGATAATTGAAAAAGGTCAACTTGTTTCTTTTTTATACAACAGAATAGACCAAAAAAATTACGTTTTTTTGAAAAAAAAATTTCAAAGCCGCGTAAAAAATTTAATTTTTAATATTTTCAAATATGTAATTCTAGTTCCGGCGATAGCCACATTCTCACAGATTAAGATGCCTTTTGATTTTTCGATTTTAGTTCAGTCAATTAGTCAGTATCGTGGACGCCGATAGACGGCGTTTTTATGATCATCATCACTTTCCAGTTTTATAATTCGAAATCATTAAAATATTTTTACTTGCAAAAATTTTAATTTATTGTTAAAATGAAACTGAATATATGGTAAAAATTTTGAAGTCCTAAGTTTTCATCCCAGTAAAAAAAACTAATTCAAACGGATTGAAATGAATTAAGATTTTTGGTAGAAAGTGGGATTCATTCAAGCTCTTTGTATATTCGATTGAATTCGATTCAATTTGCCTGAAGTTGTGCAAACGAATTCGCATTCATAAGAAATGACCAAGGCATGCATTGAATTCGTGCTGACGAATTAAAAAAAATTAAAGGCCCCAAAACTTGTCCATTGAATTAGTATGAATAGAAGGTTTGGAACTTCAATACAGTTTGACGAATTCGCAGGAAAATTGCAACATAGCTCCAATTCGTATTTGTCACAAAGCGGGATTCACTGAAACTATTTGTGAATTCTTTTTAATTTATTTCAATTAGTTTTTGTTTACTGGGATGGTTATTAAAAAGAAAATCCAAAAAAAACTCTTAAAAAACGTCTGCCACACGGGGTGACCCCCTTAAGAAACTATAACGTCTTTTGTAAAAAAGTCAATTTTGCAATTTTTTTTTGTTTTTATATTTTTATTCAAAATTCTTTTAATTTATCAAAATATGAATAATATAATTGTTTTCTTTACTAAAAAACCAATAAGATTCACTACCCATAATTGACTTTATGTCAAATAGAAAGCTCTTAAAACAAGTTTAATGTGTGGGGACACCCAAGCTACTCCTTAGAGGCTGAGTAAATTCACGTACTCCTTGTTAATATTTCAAATTGGTAATTCTTTTCTTGATGTTGACGTAACAGAATAGAAGTCTAACGAAAGCTGTGAGTGATTTTATTATGTACTTGCATTGATACAATTGTGCAATTAAATCGACAAAAATAAGCAAAACATACTTCCCCAAAAAACATGGCTCACAATTATTTCCCAAATGCTTCATTTTACAAAAATTTATTCATTTAAATTTGATGCAAAATTTCTTTTTAGAGTCAAAGTACACAATAATTAAAAAATATTTTCTTTAAGTAATTCTTGGAAATCCTTGTAAAAAGAATAAAAACATGACAAAAGAAAATAAAAAAAAACATTGGATGATCAAACTTTCAAATATTATTAAATAATATAGGTGGACCACAATTCCACAATCACCCCTAAAAGTTATTGTTTAAATAAATTAATTAAAAGAGTTAACTGTTTATTTTCCAATAAAATATATAAATTCAATAGTTTCCCTACAATTTTCATACTGGACATTTTTTTGTAACTATCATAGATTTCGAAATAAAAATTGATGAAAAAAGTGACTTAAAAGTTTAAATAATAATATCTTGCGAAATAATCAAAATTTTGCAAAACTATTTTCACTACTTATATATGTCCCCTAAGACAACAAAATGGCAAATTATTAAGTAAATGTGAGATGTCAAATAATAAAATATGTCAAACACGAAGTTGTCAAAATTTTGCATAACCATGGATATGAGAAACCAATCATATCAAAAGAGGAATTATTTGTTTTGGTAAAAGGTATGAAAGGATTTGTTCCCATAAATGTAAAAGATCCGAGAGTCGAGTGTACTTTAAAACTGCAATTGTTTTCATAACACACGGTGGTCTTCAAGCACTTTTAGGTTTACCTAAAATGAGTCAAAATTGTGCTAACGCAGTTTTATCTGTAATCGTCCCAACACGGTGGTCTTCAAGCACTTTTACGTTTACCTAAAATGAGTCAAAATTTTTGACTTGTAATTGTAGACTTATATTCAGTAGCTTATAATTCCGAAAATATTGAGTTTAGGAAAAAGTTGTCAAAAAATGAAAGTTTTAGTTTTCTTTTGAGTTTTAAGAAATGTAAACAGAAATTTTTTTTATAAACAAATTAATTGTTTTTAACTTTGGGCCGGATTTTAAAAAATTTTTTTTAAATTTATTTATACCTTATAATATAGAGGAGAGTTTCCAAAAAGGCCCGAAATGGGCCTGATGTGTTAAATGAGTTTTAAAACATTTTCAAAAATCACTTGCAAGCATCACATGGGATATTTTTACAATTAACTTTTTAGAACTGTCTGCAGCGTATAAATTTTAATCTATTTGTGTTCTTTGTTTTAAATTAAAGGGTCTACGCTGTAGATAGTTTTAAAAAGTTAATTGTAAAAAAATCCCACTATCGACTAAAATCTCACGTGGAATTTCCCATAGGGTAATGTCACCTTGAGTGGACCGCCTGAGCTTTTAAGTTATCTGACAGCGGAAACGTGAAATAAATAGTGCGAATAGCAGCACCGCACCTAGAAACCGTAAGAAATTATGTTCGGCGATAATCATATACGTTATTGTTTGATGTAACGCATTTTTAAGAACACAAACCAAAAAAGAAGTCGCTCTTTCAATGAGTAAAGTGATTTGGAAGTGTAAAAGTAGTGTAAAATTTAAGTTTTAAAAGGTAACTTATTTTTTTCCTACTACTTTGGACATTGAAATTGATTGTCTTAGTTTAATTTAGTGATAATTTTGACTAAAAAAAAATTGTGATGGCTGCCATAAAAAGTTGTTTGTCACCATGAGTGGACCACTGTTTATAACCATGAGTGGACTGCCTGTTTTTTCCATTTTTAATGTCAGTTTAACATTTTTTAGATATAAATTGACAATAAATTAGTTTGAAACTATGATTTATGTTCTTTATTAATTTTTTTGTGATATTGATGTGATATGTGACAAAATTATCAAAAATGGTTTCACTTGTAAACATTGCGACACATACATGGTCTGAAGCTGCATAAGCATAAATTTTGTTTCAATATATCAGAAATATTAAATACATTAAAGAATTTATAATAACTTTTACAATTTTTTAGGAGTGGTCCACTCAAGGTTACACTTTTTTCATTCCTTAAAAATTAGCTTTTTTAAAAGTCAATTGTTTTTTCCAATAAAAAAAAATCAAAGCTATTATGGCATAAACACTTATCTAGGGATTTAAACTAAAGCTTGAAATAGAAACCTCCGATTAATTTGCTTTCATAAAGAATTTTTTAGAAAAAAAGCGTAGGCGGTCCACTCAAGGTGACATTACTCTATATATGTTTTTTTCGAAAAAAGAATCAGCTACGATTTTCGGAAATGAAAATTTGGAATCTTGGGACGATTCCAGATAAAACTGCGTTAGCACAATTTTGACTCATTTTAGGTAAACCTAAAAGTGCTTGAAGACCACCGTGAACAGCGTGACTTTAGGGTATAAGAGCATAAATCCACTTAAGTACCTCTAACTCCTTCAGCTGGTGGTCCAGGTGCTCTCGTCATTAACATAGAATTTTTTGCATTTTCTCCAGTTCCTTGAAGGGTAACTTCCAACATATCTCCAATCTTTCCTGTAATTGGATCTCTTCTGAACCTAATGCAAGTTCCAACTGGCGCCAAATCAGCATTTAGTAAAGCCAAAATATCTGGTTCTCTTGACCAATAGCATTGTATATTATCGACATTATAAATAGGAAGATTATCAGGATATTCAATAAATGCTTTTAATTCACTTTTAATATCAGCTATTATAGGAGGTGGTCCAAATGGCAAAAATAACTATATAGACAGAAAACAGAAGAATAGTTATTTTTGGGTTAAGGGCACAAAATAATAAATTGCATTGGAAAGCTTATTAAATTTCCAATGAAATGCCACTATTTTAAGTTGCATTGCATAAATAGGAAGCGAGATATCATGTTATGAAGACAAAAAAATAATTCTATTTTTTTCGGAATTTCTTACCCTGACTTTGACTCCAAGCAAAATTTAGAAAAGTTAATGAAAAAAATTGTTACTTTCACAGACTATTCCTTGTAATCTAAGCTTTAAATAGAGTCCAAGAACAGCAAAAAATATTTACGGGTTTCCGAGATATTACAAAAAGAGTCGGACCGTGCGAAGCAATATTTTCAATCATCGACTTCTCTAATTCGCCGTTGAGTCAATTGCGTGGCTGTGAAAAAAGTGTCGAAAATTAATTTTACCAAGTACATTCTTACTAGGATCCACTTTTTAAATATCATTATATAATAAATTAAATTAAAAAATGGATCCCAGTAAGAATGTACTTGACTAAATCCATTTCAACCAGGCAGGTCGACTAACTTCAAGTCTGAAATAATTGTTTCTAAATTGCAACTACCAAGGATTACAATTGGTAAAGTAAAACTAACAACATATGAAAACAACTGTTTGCAGCGGGAATTTTTTTTCTCTTCTTTTTTACCGCATTCGCTGAAGGGATAAATCTTCTCAATTTTCATATGAATGAGATATAACTATCCTGAAAACATTGACTCCCAGTTAAACCTTGAATACCAAAATTAAATTTAGTCACATTTTTCAAGATTTCCCAGTTTCGGTTGGGAGTGGGTTAAATAAGTATAACCTACAAATGTAAATATTATTGGAGTCTCTATATGTGTGTTGTTTCATAAAGGGAATATTTATCCTGCCGGTTTACCAAACAAATGTTTGTTAATTTAATATAATATAGTTTTATTTAATTAAATTTAATCTATTATTTTATCTTAGGGTTAGATTTTCTCAAGTGGACTTTAAATTTTCAAAAGTTGAAATTTATCAGTGTAAATGTGCAAAAAGATAGTTCTATTAGAGTTACGAATAACCTGTAAATTTTATTAAAAAATATTCAATTGTTTTTTTTTATAAACAATTGAAATTTTATGCATAACATTTTTAAAAAATGCATAACTTTGACGAAAATTGACGAAACTTGATGATTCTTTTTGCAAATTAACTATGAAATTACAAACTTTATAAAAATAATGTTTACTCCATCGAAGCTCTTAATTTGTTATAAAAAATAATTATTTATTATAAACCAATTAAAAATAAAACGTGTTCTGGATAACCATATTCAATTTTATAAATAAGAACTTTAAGAGAATTTATTAAGGATTGCATATCAAAAAGAAAAAATTGTTTCAAGCAAATATTTTATTAATTATGAATTTTTTTGTAAGCGCGCGCAAGCTCCGTGATGTGGGCTCCCGCGTCTGACGAATGTCGTGTGCCCCGCTTTGCACGCTTTAACTTGTTTATTTTGGAAGGTTTTCTTTCATAATTTTTTTAAAATTTGGTTTGTATGTTTTGATCTAAAATTCAATTGGAATACTTGTTTATAATAAAAATAGTAATACATTATTTTATTTATATTATTTATTTATAATTTCTATTTTAAGTTTATTCACTGAAAAAAAATATTCTTCTTTTGAGAGGAAAATTCCTCTTGAATCAAGAATATTACACTTAATGGAAGAGTATTTTGCTCTTAAGATAAGAGGATTATTTTTGAGCCATATTCAAGAGGAAAATATGCATTAAAAAAAAGTAATCCGCTTAAAACAAAACTATTTTTTTGTTATTTAATTGTTTTCAGTTGAATATTTCTCGCTTCGAAAAAAACATGTTTTAACTGATTTTTCTTAATTCTATAATTTTATATATTTACTTGTAAACTTTCGTACCTATTAAAAATAAAAAGTAGTAATACAATATATTTTACTACTAAACAGACTACAATTTTTTATGAGGGTTTTAAGGCAATTTCCTCGGTAAGCATAATGTGGTAAAATTTTGTTCAAAATTACGTGAAAGTAAAAAAAAATTTTACTCAAACTGAACGAACTTTTAAAAAATTTATATTACAATATTATCTTTTTACAAATAAAATTTTACAAAATCTTCAAACTAAAAGGATTTTTAAAAAACTTATTTTATACTATACTATAAATTACAATATAATTTTTTTATGAAATAAATTTTATAAAAATCCTTTCAGTTTGAGTAAAATTTTTTTTACCTTCACGTAATTTTGAACAAAATTTTACCACATTAGCTTACCGAGCAGATTGCATTAAAACACTCATAAAAATTTTAATCTGTTTAGTAGTAAAATATATTGTATTACTACTTTTTAATTTTAATAGGTACGGAAGTTTACAAGTAAATTAAAAATATTTTTAAATTATATAATACAAAAAAATTAGTTAAAACTTGTTTTTCTGGAAGCAAGAAATATTCAACTGAAAACAATTAAACAATAAACTTAAAATAGATTACATAAATAAATATAAATAAAATAATATATTACTAATTTTATTATAAACAAGTATTCCAATCGAATTTTAGTTCAAAACATACAAACCAAATTTGAAAAAAATTATGAAAGAAAACCTTCCAAAATAAACAAGTTAAAGCGTGCAAAGCGGGGCACACGACATTCGTCAGACGCGGGAGCCCACATCACGGAGCTTGCGCGCGCTTACAAAAAAATTCATAATTAATAAAATATTTGCTTGAAACAATTTTTTCTTTTTGATATGCAATCCTTAATAAATTCTCTTAAAGTTCTTATTTATAAAATTAAATATGGTTATCCAGAACACGTTTTATTTTTAATTTGTTTATAATAAATAATTATTTTTTATAACAAATTAAGAGCTTTTATGGAGTAAACATTATTTTTATAAAGTTTGTAATTTTATAGTTAATTTGCAAAAAGAATCATCAAGTTTCGTCAATTTTTGTCAAAGTTATGCATTTTTTAAAAATGTTATGCATAAAATTTCAATTGTTTATAAAAAATAAACAATTGAATATTTTTTAATAAAATTTACAGGTTATTCGTAACTCTAATAGAACTATCTTTTTGCACATTTACAGTGATAAATTTCAACTTTTGAAAATTTAAGGTCCACTTGAGAAAATCTAACCCCTTATTATATAGATTAATAAGCTCCAGGAAGATACTCCTGCACAAAGTCCGAGGGTCTGTGATATATGGGAGTCACGCATTGCAGTTTTTTTTTGAAATCGGTAAATAAGATAACTTTTTAATTTATTCAGATCAAATGAAAATATTTAGGGTAATGTCACATTGAGTGGACCGCCACTTTGAGTGGACCACCTGAGTTTTTAAGTTATCTGACAGCGGAAACGTGAAATAAATAAAACGAATAGCATCCCAAATTCTATTAAATATTCCAGGTGCCTTATTAAAGATACTAATTGTTCAGTATCAGTTGGGGGATTTGTAGATAGACTACAGGCTGAGGATGTTAATAGAATTGTTTCTATTCGCCGCAGAATTACGTTTGATAAACAAATGTTGGAATCATTAGAGATCACTTTTTATGGTCTTAATCCACCAACCAGCATAATTGTATCGTCTTTTGAATTTCTTCTCACATCCGTATCAGCAAGACCAATCCGCTGCTTCTTTTGCCAAAGATATAGACACACTGAAACACAGTGTAAATCAACTTATTCTAGATGTGTATTTTGTTTGGACTCACATGAAATAAATCAATGTCCTAATGGTCTAAGACGGGCAATCTGTTGCAACTGTTCGGGAAGACATCCAGTCTTTTCTGATCAGTGTCCAATCTATCAGAGGGAATCTAAAATTCAGAGAATTAGGGCGGAAAATGGGGTAGGCTACCAGGAAGCAGAAGAGATTTTGAGAACTCAAGATTCTGCTAACATCACTTCAGAAGATGATTTAACTCTGACAGGTAGTGAAAACATTCAGCAACAAGGATCACAATTTAGTGAATTTTCAAGAACAGAACAAAGAAATTAAAAATCTAATCCAACATCTCCTACGGGTCATAATTTACAAACGCACTACGCTGATAATGATCAGCCTATGGATAATCAATTCTTTTCACAAAATAAGGGTTTATCTAGTAAGAATCAATCTGACCTATCAGACTCAAATAATTCATTGACTTCACTTTCAGATCTTACAATACAAAACAGAGGCAAATCTACACAACGGCAATCTTACTCTTTCAGTCCTCCTGATACGTCTCAGAGGGATTCTAAAAAACCTCGAATCTGATAGATAAACGCAAGGAAGGCCAAAACATGGTTAATAGTTACTCAAAGTTAGGCCGACAGAATATATAAAATATATGGTATTTATTGATTTTCTTTGTTTTGGCTGGGGCCTGGCCAGTTACCCCCATGCCAGTCTGTGGAGTCTTTCTTGGTCAAAAGCCCCGTCCAATATAAAATAAATTTACTTAAAGACTTGAGCTCTGCCTGACTCTAACGGATAGAGTCTTGAGCACAGCTATGAGGAGGTCAAATCAAACGAATCAAACTAGAGCAAAATAATTTAAACGGAGTAAATAACTAAAATTGTTAAGAATTAGAATTCAAATTCTAAGTAATTGTAAGAGATATAAGTTTTTTTTTATTTTTTGTTTTTTTTTGTTTTTGTTTTTTTATGTTTGAATTATAAGATTATATTTATAAAAATTCCATTGGTCGATCATATAGTAGCAGCCTGGATCTGGAATTTATAAATATTATTTTATCTAATACTATTTATTTAATTTTGATTTTTGTTATTTTTAATCTTCTTTTTTTGTCTAAACCGGTAGGACCGAGTGTTCTTTAAATTGAATCACTTTATTATTTTTAATTCACCTTTAACATTCATTATTAAAGATGGTAAATAATAACATTAAAGTTATAAATTGGAACGCACATAGTGTTTCAAATAAAAAGTCAGAAATTGAGAC